GCTCCTTTGTAAAACTAGTTAATTAGTTCTCCCCCTACCCCAAACTTCACTTGAATAAATTTGTGGCTAGCACAAGTATGAAGAATTTTGCTTTTCTTGGCTAATTTCTTCTCTCTTCCCCCCTTTTCAAAGGGAACTTCACCCATCTATCAGGACAGGGCTGTTCACTTTGGATAAAGATGACTAACTGAAAAAGAAACATTACCAAAAAATATTTTGTTGAGTAAAAAAGCTGCCCATGCCTTCTCTGAAAGTAACTGTCCATCACAGCATAAGGTGAATAAACAGATTCTGCAGCTTGTTACAAGTTTGTTAATTCTTTAATAAATTACCCATTAAAAAAAAATTAACTAATAAAATGTTTGGGAATTATCTGAGAAAAAAAATTCATCATAAGCACTGGAAAAGTGTCTATGTAGCAATATGTAAAAAGTACAGGGTTTTAACTCAATTTTTGAGACTTTTACAACAAAGTGCAGAGAAAGGCAGAGGAAATTATGTTCTGACTACACAGACTAAATAAGCCCAATGGGTACCTCTGTATATAGTTATCCATGGCACTGAAATCTGCTTAGGAAAGCAACAAGTCTTTTGTTCTGTTGACAACAGTTATTACAATTAATTCATTTTGTGATTGGTATTTGTACTGAGTGACAAGGTGTTATTTTACCTCAGTAGAAGTTAAAATGGTAACACCTACATGCAAAATAACACCGAGTTTGCTATCAGTCACTCAATGAAAGAACAGCCTCTCTGCAGAAGTGCGTGCTCAGCCACCACTCCTGCAAACCTCAAGTGTTAGCATCGGGCTCCTCCTCTCCTCTTTCCCCAGAGTTGCTTTTGGGTTTCTTTTCCCTTTCTAAAAGTTTCTTTGAGGGGACGGGAGAAAGTAAGAAAGAAGTTGTCTATGTTACGGTGCAAGCCAAGCTAAAACATAAGGAAACACAGCAAAAGGCCTCCGAGATGCCCGCGGGAGATGAAGGCTCCCTGCCCTTGGGGTGGCACTGCCGAGGGCGTCCTGCCAGGAGTCCCACCAGCCCGGCAGGGAGCGGGGCTGGGGCTGCTGGGCCCCTTCAGAGCGGTGGGGAGAGGTGAGCC